AAAAGATAAAAAGAAAAAATTAAAAAAAAATAAACGTTCCATGGTAGAACTTTCCCCCTGGATACTCTCACTCTGGTAATGGGAGTACCTGAACACTGGTTATGGGAGGCAATACAAATTCATCTACGTAATTGTTTCAAGTTAGCCCTTCTTGCAGCTGGTTATTTAGCTTATTAACATTTTTTTTTGTGGTTTTAAGATTTTAAAGTTAGGACCTTGTATTTGCTCAGGCAGTGCTTTACCGCCTGAACAATGTCATCTACCATTCTTACTTTAGTTATTTTTCAAATAGGGTTTGGGCTGTCCTGGACTGTGATCCTCCTATTTATACTTTGATAAAGTCACGTGCTATCACATCAGCTTTTTACTGGTTGAGATGGAAGTTTGTTGAACTTTTTCTCTAGGTGGGCTTTGATCCTCTGATCCTCTGTCTTCCCTTTCTCTGCCTCTTGAGTAAAATGATAAGCATGAGCCACTATGCTTGGCTTCGGCTCATTAATTCTGAACATGATTCTGGACTTTGGGGACCTGTTACTGTATGGTAATTTTTCCAAAACAAATGAAGATTAAGGTGGAGAAATAACTACTAATTACATAGTTGGTCTTTGTGTTCAGGAGGTAGTAGAGCTCTTCAATGGAGGAACCTAAGCTTAGTGTCAGTGGCTCATGCCTGTAATCTAGCTACTCAGGAGGCTGAGATCTGAGGATCCCAGTTCAAAGCCAGCCTGGGCAGGAAAGTCCATGAGACTCTTGTCTCCAATAAATCACCAGAAAACTGGAAGGGGCACGGTGACTCAAGTGGTAATGTGCTAGCCTTGAACTGAACAATGCCCATGACTGACAAAAAAAGAAAGAATAAAAGGAAGAAAGAACCAAAGAGAAAGAAAGAAAGAAAGAGAAAGGAAGGAAAGAAGGAAGGAAGGAAGGAAGGAAGGAAGGAAAGGGAGGAAGGAAAGGGAGAGAGGGAGGAAGGGAGGAAGGAAAGAAAGAGAGCTAACTAACAAAATGAATTCCAGGAAATGGAGGTATGTTCTGTTGGGATGGGGGAAGAGGGCAGGAGAAGGGGCATATAAATGAGGGGAGAAAGAGTGAGCAAATACAATCAGTCAGTGTAAAATGGAACTAAAATCTTGAGGGTATGGAAGCACAATGGAGGAGGTGACATTACTCAAGACACAGTTTACTCACAACCTGACTTGGGGACTTGAAACTACTTAGCAAAATAATAATAATAAACTTTTAAAAAAGGAAACTGACAAATTCAGGACCTAGTCCACCTCATAAAGGAAAAGGGACCGTAATGAAATACTAGGCAATTGTTAAGAAGGGAATAAAAGACTCATGTTTTATGAATAGTTTAGCTAGTTTAGCAGCCAAAACTCAGTGGTGTTTGTCTAATTAAGTCCTACTGTAATAAAAAAAAATGAACTAAAATGGTAACAAAGGACTCAACCTGTGCTAGAATATATGTTTTTAAAAGTCTCAAAAGATGGATATATATCCATTTGTGATCAGTTCTCTCTGGGCCCAGGAACTGTGGAGAGCTTTTACATTTTTGGTTTCTATTATATCCACTCCCATATGGTTTAGCTTATTCTTATAAAAAGAATTTTAAAAATCTGTGTGTGTGTGTGTGTGTGTGTGTGTGTGTGTGTGTGTGTGTGTGTGTGTGTTGGTCCTGGGGTTTGAACTCAGGGCCTGGACACTGTCTCTGAGCTTTTTCTGCTTAAGGCTAGCACTCTACTGCTTGAGCCATACCTCCACTTCCAAATTTTTGGTAGTTAATTGGAGATGAGACTCTCAAGGACTTTCCTGAGCTGCAATCCTCAAATCTCAGCCTCCTTAAGTAGGTAGGATTAAAAGCATTAGCCACTGGTGCCCTGCAAGAATACTAATTTTTAATGAGGAAAAAAATAGTCTTTTTCCTTGGGGCTGGGAAGGTGGCTCAGTGGTAGAGTGCTTGCCTTGCATGCATGAGGCCCTGGGTTCAATTCCTCAGCACCACATAAGCAGAAAAAGCTAGAAGTGGCGCTTTGGTTCAAGTGGTAGGGTGCTAGCCTTGAGCTGAAGAGCTGAGGGACAGTGCTCAGGCCCCATGACCGACAAAAAAAACAGTCTTTTTCCTTTTAAATAAAGAGATGATTCAAAAAGAAATATATAATGGTATTGCCGACAGTAAGGCAACATGTTCTCTTATATTATCTATAAGGTTATCTTTTTCAGTAGCATTCCTATTTCATCAATTTCAAAATACCTGACATATTTTTGCATACAGGAGACTACATGCCAGGAAAAGAGTCACAATGACTGTCAAGTTTTTGATGGAAGCTTGTGACTTCTCCACGTAAGCACTTGATAGATGATAACCAGGGACTTAAGACATGAATGGAGAATAAAGGCCGAGTAGTAGGAAGAGAGTATCAGCTTTCCTAACTTCTCACTGTGTGAGCAGAGCAGACACTTAGTGATGCACTCCATAAATACGCTTACCAAGAACCTACGGTGTGCTGTGCACTTTTCAGATAGCAGAAGAGCTCACAGACCAGTGGGGAAGCAGAAACAAAATAAATAATATGTGGAAGGTGTACAGGAACCCACCTTACCTGTGGGTTCGGGGCATATGGTTTTGACCAAAGGTAGTCAAAAAAAATCAAGTGCATTTTTACTTTCAAAATCACATATTTCAAATTCCCTATGGGTATCTCTGCTCGGTAGATGCCAGACTCTCTGTGAGTGCTTGGTATCATCTCTTCATTCAGTAGAAATCATGGTGTCATCCGAGTTGGTCACCAACAAAGCAAGGTAAAAATTGTGTCCAAAGGTGGAAGGATAAAAAAGGCTTACTTATTTTAAGCGATAAGGGGGGGGGGGGCAATATTATATATGCCAAAAGCAGCATGCTTTTAGTAAAGTTGGGCAGTATGATGCGAAAAAGGAGTGGCGTATTGGCGTAGCCCTGAACGCTGTGTATCCGGTGCATGCGCAGTTTCCCCTTAACTGGGCTCTCCTTGGGAGCCATGTGCCTGCAGATACAGAGGACACATACCATACTGAACTAGACAGATCTGCCGACTGTAAGAGAGCAAGGTGGACCAGAGGAAAAGAAGGCGGAGTATGTCAGAAACCACAGAAGTCCTCCTGGTGCCTGCAATTATAGGTATGAAGAGAAAACCAGGGAGAAAGCCAGCAGCCAGGTACCAAGGGGCCCATACAGCCAGGAGCTTCTACTTTCTTCCAAGCACAAGGGGAGATCATGGAAATATTTGAAGCATAAGTGTAAGAAAAAAAACGCTTCCTATCATTTAGATGTGTGTGTTCCAACTTGGTCTTCAATGGTATGGTGTTGAGAAATGCAGGGTGTTTAAGGGAGTCATTTTTGCGAATGTGGAAAATGACATAGATGAAGTTCTTCATAGCAGTAATGAAGCTATTTATGTAATGGTGAGAAGCACAAAGGAAACATAAACTATAGGAGATGACAGATTAAGTAAATTAGGACACATGTAGACAATGAAATATCCATCTCAGGTGTTGTTATAGCAGCAGAGCATAGACTGAGAAACCCTATCTAGCCACAACTTGATTTTCCCTAGGGAAGAAATTCTCACATGCACAAGGCCTGTGCTCAGGATGTTCATGGCCACCTGGCTTGTAATAGTGGACAACAGGAAGTACTGCTCTTCATTGAAGGAGGGCTAAATTTTATAAAACAGCACACGTATATTGTGTAACACTATACAGCCATTTAGAAGAGTGATGTGAGTAAATATTGACTGGCTGGGCATCAGGAGATATTGAAGGAAAAAAAAACTCCTACAAATTGTAGTATGACGTGTGTATCATTTATATGAGAGACAACTCACACCTACATGTGTTTGTATCAAAAGGCATAAAGAAAGGTCTGGAAGGATGTACTCCAAATACTTGTCTGGAGAATAAGAAAAAGGAACATTTGTAGATGTGGCTTGATGGAAGGGATTTCAGATTTATTTATAACACTCTTAAAAGCTCTTAAGCGTTTGGATAAATGTGCATAGTTATCATCTCAGTTGTGCTATTTTAAAAATGTTTTAAGTCATTTGCAAATGTCAATAATTACTGTCAACTCTAAAGTTCATCTATGCATGCATGGGAACTTGTGTCTGGGTTCACTCAAAATCGAACCCAACTCCCAAAATGAGAAATGGCTAGAAAAGCTGTAAAGCTTCCTACAAAACTAGTGGGTGGAAATAGTCATTCAGATACGGCTTTCTTCCCTCCGAGTCTTGTCTAGCCGACACATGAAAGTTACTCAGGCAAAGGGTCTGTGCTGAAATAGAGCCCTGTAAAGCTCTTGTTTTAATTAATTAATTAATTAATTGTTGCTGGGGCTTAAATTCAGGTGCTGCAGAAAACCTTCATTGTTAAGATTATTCATGTCCAATATTAAAGGTCTTTGGGAGCCAAAGAGATGTCCAAAAAGATGGTCACATTATTACAAATACATACTATCTGATAGAACATAAAATTAATTCATGTTGTCCTGCATTGGTTTTCTATGTTTTCACGTGCTTCCTTTGCGAAGGTATTTATTTTCAATTAAAGTGTAAACTTCAGTTAAGCTTGCCTGCTCTACTACTGAGGCAAAAAATAAAAAACAAAAATCCATACATTTGTTGAATGCATCTGTTTCTCTTAATATATTAAATTTCCTCTTGCCTGGAACTTCGGGGTTGGGCTATAGCAAAAAATGCATATAACTATGGCCAATTCCAGGTGGAAGATCAGGGAATGCAGGGAGATAAGTAAAAAAGAATGCACCCAACCACGAATCCTGGCGCCTGATGGGTGATTTACAATCTCACCACTTCATCCTACCCGTTAGTTCTTTGGGTTAAGTTGTTCTTTCAATCGTATCGCAGAGTATGGAGAAAAAAAATCGTTTTGTTTGATTTTAACAAGGAAATCACTTGCGGATGAAGACTGATTTCTATCTCTCTTCCTCTTGTATTTTCCTGTAGATCTCCTCTAAAAACAGGAGAGAGAAAATTGTTGAGAGAGCCAAGAGTAATGGGCCACGAAATTCCCATCAGAAGTCAAGCATAGTGGACTGCCACTTGGATTTCATGGCCTCCTTTCATGGTAAGGGGGAAAGAGCTCTGTAGGTAGTAAACTGATACATGAATTCATCATTGCTGTCTCAGTTACCAAGTGACTCCATCAGACATGACACTGCCTTTCCCCTTTAATGGGTAAGAGGCAGGGTGGCACCATGGAAGACCTTAGTTTTCCAGTAAGACTGTCCTGAGTCTTTTGTTACTTAACATGCCTGGGTCTCTTTAGTATTACCTGGAAAACTGGATAACAAAAGTATCTGTTTTTCTAATGGGACTTGGGTGAAAATTAGATGGACTGAAAATGGACATAAAGCAGTTAGTTCAGACTGAAGTCTAACCCATTAGCTCCAGTTTTCCTATTGCTTTTCTCAGTATTAACGCCTACCTCCCAGGTCTTGGCAGCCCGGCCCATCCCAGGTAAATGAGTTAGTTTCTGACTTAAGAGTCAGAATGATGGTTAGTTTCTGACTTAAGAGTCATTCATTCAGAAACTAGTAGCTATTCTTATTTCAGAGGAGAAAACCAAAGATTAAAATTCTTAACATGATGTAAGGAACATGAACATCCTTTTAAAATATCAACCATTGTGATTAAAGAAATCATTCTTTCAGCTTGATCTATGAGACATGAGTATCTAAATTCTGTGTCTGTGTCTGTGTGTAGGGCCTGGCATTGTCCCTGAGCTTCTTCTGCTCAATGCTAGCACATTACTACACAAGCCACAAAAGTACTTCCGGCTTTCTCTGAGTAGTTAATTGGAGATGAGAATCTCATGTACTTTCCTGCCTAGGCTGGCTTCAAGCCATGATCCTCAGCTCTTAGCCTCCTGAGTAGCTAGGATTACAGGTGTGAGCCACCAGCACCTCAGCTCAGTATCTCAATTCTGTGCTTCTCACGTGGTATTATTAGTCTTTCTCTCATTCAATGCATTGTTGAGTTAATCCTCCCACTCCTGGAACTCCAGTTGAGGAGAGAATACAGATAATTCATGGGTAGTTATCAGAAGATGGTCCAAAAAAGATATAACCATAGTGACCCTTCCTGGCAGGTGACTGCTCATCAGTCAGTTTTCTAGAGGTTTCCCTGAAACCCCTGCACTCTCAGAACTTTTCCACTCGTGACAGTGGTGTTTTATTGCCCAGTTGCACCTTGGAGTTGACACCATAGTCTCCAGCGATGGAGGAGGAGAAGGGGTGGAATGAGCAGGTTTGGCCAGGTCAGTGGCATTCTTCCTGTTTTCTGTTAATAGAATGAGCTGAGAATGACTATAAACTCTGTTCTTTTCCCTGTCACATAGACCAATCCATGTGGGCTCCAAAGCAATGGGGAAGCCCTGTGTGACCCACTCAGGTGGACCAGGTCTGAGCTGTCCTGCCTAACTAGTGACATTCAAAGGGATCCAAGAATCAAATACCTCAGTTCATCCAAGGACTAGGCAAAGAGGTGGGGAGGGGAACAGGGATTTCTAACTGTATTCTGTTATAGTACTGAGTAGACTTTTATTTATAATCATTTCAGCACAGGCAGAAAATTCAGAAGCAGTCATTTCATCCCAAAAGGATGGTGTCCTGACATTTTGTTGATGGTAACCTGTCACAGGGAAAGTGGGTTATTTCACCTGTGGGCTGGGCACTCGTGGGCAGACTGACTTTGGTATTTTTTGTTTTGTTTTGTTAATTTTATTTTAATTTTCAAATAATTGTACAAGGGAATTGGGTACTAGTGGCTCACGCCTGTAATCCTAGCCACTCAGGAGGCTGAGATCTGAGGATCTCAGTTGGAAGCCAGCCTAGGCAGAAAAATCTCAAGACTCTTCTCTGCAATCAACCAGCAAAATGCTGAACTGGAGGTTTGGCTCAAGTGGTAGAGCACAAACCTTGAGTGAAAAAGCCAAGTGAGAATGTGACACTCTGAGTTCTGAGTTCAAGTCCTAGTACAGACAATAGATAGACAGACAGACAGACAGATAAAGTGGTTTCCGTTTAACTTGTTCATTTATGTGTATAATGCATGTTGAGTGGAAGCACCCTTTCAACTTCTTCCTCCCATCTTACCTACTCCAAGACTGACTTTTCTCCAGGAATAATCTCTAGAGAGCTCTACACTAGGCTCAGGTGCAACCTTTCCCGGCCAATGGCATGGGAAACTTAGCAGGGAAGCCACCTTTTCCAAAACAGGATTGGATTTCACAAAAGGAAGTGGACAGGGACATAAAACTTCTCACCATATCTCCAGCAACAATAGAAGAACAAAAGGGCCAGTAGCCATTGCCTCAAAGACAAGCCTTCCTTGAACTGGCTCCACTTTCCATGGATTTCTTAAAAGAGTCCAAGGCCCACTGTATGCAGATATGCACAGGACAAAATGAAACCCCATGCTCAATTAATTGATGCTAATAAAAATGAATGCGGTTGGGCAGGGAGGAGAAAAAAATTATGAAGATAAGAGAGGAAGTTTCGGTGGCTAGTTTTTAACAAAATCTTTGTAAGGGGAGGTGTTTTGTTTCATGTTATGTTTTTCATTAAGGAAACATTTCAGCAGAGACCTTTAGGTATTGAAATTTAGTAGGAAGTAATGTCAAGAAGAAAATAAGGTTTCTCTTGGGTCTGGGGGTCCATCTGGGATAGACAATTGAAGGCTGTCTTTCAAAGGATGGTGATTTGAAGAACCTCAGGTATAAAGGGTATGTCAGTGGAAACATTTCTACTTGTAGTTTCTTTTCAGTTTTTTTCTTCTCTCTTAAAAAAATCTCCTTTAGAGATTGCAGTAAGTCTCGGACTATTTCTTAAAGGAATTTAGTGCAAAAGTTGTGCCCCTTGCTATTCTGAGATGTTGCCCAAGATTTGAAAACCTGCCCAATGCAGTTGTGATCTGATTATTTCAAATGAAATACAAGAACGGCAAGGTTTCCCACCCCCACCCCACCCGCCCGGTAGTGTAGGGTAGTTGAGTGTAAGAGAAAAGTCACATCTGTTTTTCCATTTTCTCTTCTAAAAAGAAGATCATCTGTTAGTCAGCCATCCTTGCAGGAATAAAGGAAAAAAAATCTTCTAGTTGTGGGTCTTACACGAAGTGTTTTGGGTTGAATTGTGTGTCTCCACCCACCCACCCCCAAATTCACATATTGAGGCCCTAACCCACAGTCTCTTAGAATAAAATGATACTTGGAGATAAAGTCTTTAAAGAGGCCACTAAGTAAAACGAGGTCACATGGGGGCCTCACCCAGTATGATGGAAACCATCAGAAGAAGAGGAAATTTAGACCCAAACGTGCACACAGAGCAAAGACCATCTGAGGACACAGGGAAGAGTCAAGGAGAAAAACGATAAGAGACACCAACCCTTCTGACACCTTGACTGTGGGCGTCAGGCTCCAGAACTGGGAGGAATTAAACTCTGTTGCCTTCTGCCATCTGTCTGTAGCATTTTGTGACAGCAGCCCTGCATTGGTGCATATATTAGGTGAAACATGTTGCCAGAAGTCAGACTGCTCTGTGGTCAACTGGGTGGACTTTACATGAAATATGGTATTTCTGCGAGCCACACTTTGGGAGTCTTTTGGGGGAGAATCAGTGGTCCCCATCTTCTACCACAGTGGCTCCCCCTTCAATCAAGGGACACCCACCTAGCCCAGCAGCCCAGTACTGTGCTGCTCTTTCTCACATCTTTGCTACTGGACCCTCTCCCCCTGAGGGGGAGATTGGGGGTAGAATCCCCAACCTGCTTTATTTTAAGAGGTAATGTGGTTGTGTAATGAAGGACAGGAGAAACAGTTGACATGGAGGAAGGGATGTTTCAGTCCAGTCCAGTCAAACCGGAAGATTTGGAAATTCTGCACGGTTTACTTTCTGACAGGGAGGCCTAGAACTTAACAGCAGGACATAAAATATTCAGAATGCTACCCGAGACCACATTCATCATCCCCACAGGTGGACGAGTACTTCCGTAATGATAAGGAAGGACTCAGGCTTGTCTGCTCTGTTTCTCACCCAACATGATTTTCTCAGGCTCCTGGTGGAGTGGAGGGATACGGAACAGGAAGAAAATCTCAGGCAGACCACCCCAACACCTGTGCCAGCCACAATCCATTTGTATGCCGTCCCTCTGATCTGAACAATTCCTTTGCCACTGAACAAAGTACTTTATTTTCTCCTTCAATGTGAGTTGACCTGAAATTCTAGGCCTAGGCTGAGTTACAAATAGACCCCACCAGGAATTGGCCTTGTGAAGGAATTCCTAGCCAGAGCTCCATTTTCTTAAGGAAAACTGGTGGTAACAATATGAGCTTTCATGGTCCGCTATTTAAGATTCCTTCTCTCAGACTAAATAAGCAAAAGTGCTCCCAGACATCTGTCGTGAGTATCACAGAGCAACTTACATATCATGTAACTCCGAACTGGCTGCTTCCAGCCCTTCAGGCTCCCTGACTTCAGTTAGTGGCATTTTTGCATACTTCAAAAATGTTTTGAAGACTATGTATCATTTGGCCAAGAGAATGGGAATCCAGATGACTTTGCAAGAATATTAAATAGCAGAAGGCTGTTCTAGAATATCCAGTTGTTACTAGAGATCCCACTTACAGTTTTTAAGCAGTGACTCTTTGGGGCTAAAATGTGGCTGTTTTCCCCAAACCAGAGACATTCTAGAAGATAAATAATGTTAGGGTGTTTTGTAAAATAAAAACAAAGGGTATGGGGGCTGGTGGCTCATACCTGTAATCCTAGCTACGTGGGGGGCTGAGATCTGAGGATCAAGGTTCAAAGCCAGGCCAGGTAGGAAACTGTATGAGAGTCTTATCTCCAATTAAGCAGCAAAAATCCAGAATTGGACCTGTGGCTCAAGTGGTAGAAAGTCAGTCTTGAGTGAAAACAACAACAACAACAACACACACACACACACACACACACACACACACACACACACACACACAAAACTAAGCAAGAACGTGAGGACCTGAGTTCAAGCCCTACTACCAGCACAAAAACAAGCAAAAATTGAAATCATTTTGAACAATAATAAATACATTTTGAATGCTTCTCATGACCTGTTGGATCCTCTTATTTTTGCCAACATACTGGATTTCATTAAGAAAAACATAATATTTGCTGTCACTAATGTTTTTTAGGTTGAAGAAAAATTTTGATGAGTTGAATATTATCTGCTCATTTGGAAAATGTTAAGTATATATCCAGAAGGCTCAAAAGTTGAATGCTGAACTTTACTATCAGTAGAATCCCATAAAACGATGTAGAAAAATCCTTAGATTGATATCTGGTACATCATTGATGCTCCATAAATTTATATTCCATTATAATTATGAATGAACTCCAGACTCAGAAAGTCAACTTGTTTAACTCACAGTTCAGGGTTGATATAATCAAAGCTACTTCTACCTAACCCATCTGATTTCTCTTTTATTTTGTGCATACCTGTATGCATGCATACTTATGCTGGGACTTGAACTCAGGGCTCTGAACTCACCCTTAGCTTTTTGTTCAAGGCTGGTATTCAACCTCTTGAACCACAGCTCCACTTCCAGCATTTTTTGCTGGTTAATTGGAGATGTGTTTGCCTTGGCTGGCTATGAACTGGGATCCTCAAACCTCAGACATCTTAATAGCTAGGATTACAGGTGTAGCCACCAGAGCTCAGCTTTACCTTGTCTTTATAAATAGCACCCTTCCTTTGTTCAAGCCAAAAGTTAGGCAAGTCCTTCTTCATCTCTTAGTCATCTATCTCTAAAAGACTCTCCTTTCATAGTTCAATTGGTTTTATAATTATCTACCTGTCTCTCTGTCTACCACCCAATCTCTCACCTGGGATTTCCACCTCTTGAACCAGGCATTTCTTTGTTGTGGGGCTGACCGGAGTCCTCTGGCAGCACTTTGGTTCTCTGCTTACGGAATGCCAGCAAGTTTCCCCCTACTTACACAACAAATGGCCACAGATGCCGCCAGATTTCCTAAAATTCCCATGGGGGTCAAAACTTTCTTCCATGCAAACCTCTGATCCAGTCCCAATTACTGTCATCAGCATCACCTCCTGCTAAGACTTTCCACTGGCTCCTTCCCAGGAAGAGTAAGATCCTCCCTTATACCCCTTAAAGCCTCTGTGCCCAGAGCAGCAGGGAGACATCCACAGCACTGCCATCTCATCCGTATCCCCAGGCTCAACCCTTCCCCTGCCTCCTTCCTGTGTAG